TTACAAAATTGTGTGCTCCAACATTTAGCGTTTATTATCATTATACATTTTTGATGAACTTTTCCCTTGATCAATATTKTAAAGCCCATTTTCTCAGATGTATGTATAATTATTACTACCACCCTCATTTACTTGTAATATAATTTCCCTCCTTTTACTTTAAATCTATGTTTGTCTTTGCAGGTGAGGTAAATTACTTGTAGGTAACATATTGTTGGATCCTGCTTCTTAATTTACCCAGCCYGATTGTGTCTTCCACTAAAGAAATTAAGATCATTTACATTCAGGGTTATTCTTGTTGCCAACTTATTGCTTTTCTTAAGATTGTTTTGAATATTCTGTGTTCATTTATTTTTTCACTTATTCATCTCAGAAGATGGATGGTTGAGTGTACTGATAATATTTGATTCTTTCCTATTTTTCATTWGTTTGTCTATTCTTCTAGTAGAATTTGTTCTTTCATATGCTGTCATAATTGTGCCCTTCTTTCTTCCTCTTCTGGGTGTAGAAGTTTCTTAAATATCTTTTTATCTGCTAGTGTTCATGAATTCCTTTATTTATGTTCTTCTGGAAAGATCTTTTTTCTTTCAGGGTTTTTTTTTCCTTCAAAAACTTTAAATACATACCTTTACAGTTTTTGCCTCAAAATCCGATTTTAGTCTAATGTCTGCCTTTAAAGGCAACTTGATGTTTCTCTCCGGAAGATTTTGTTGTTCTTTTCTTGTCCTGCACTTTTGGCACTTTAACTATAGTATCCACAGAAAGATACTTTTCTTTTCATGAGCACTTGGGTTTCTAAATGCCTCCTGTACTTTAATGTCTTTGTCTTTCCCAAGATTTGTGAAACTTTCTGCCAGTATTTCATTGAGTAGGTTTTCTTTGCTATCATTCTGCAACTCTTCTCACTTGTCTATTCGGATTACATATATTTTGGTCTTTTAATGATATCCCAGAGAATATGTACGCTCTGTTTATTCTTTCTTATTTTTTTCTTTACCACCATCTGGATATGATATTTCATTAGACATGTCTTCAAGTTTTGATATTCTTCCTTCCATTCACTCTAGTCTATTTGTGAGGCTTTCAACTGAGTTTGTTTTTTAAAATTTGAGTAATTAAACTTTACATTTCTAAGATTTCTGTGATTCTTTTTATAGTCTTTCATTTTATTAAAAATTTCATTCACGTCCTGCATTATGTTACTTGATTCATTCATTTGTCTATCTGTATTCTCTTGGAATACATTGAACTTTTTTTTAAAGTTTTTTAGTACTTTATTTTATGTATAAAGAATGATCATGTTCTCTTTCATTGGGAAATCCATTCGAGGAAGATCACTTAGTCCAATTTAATGAAGTCTGAATCCTTCGCATACTGACAGAAACACTGCCAGCACATATTGAGGCTGTATTTCCAGATCAGACCTGGCGGGTTCGAGCATCAGCAACAAGAGAGAGCGCCCTAGCCGAATTTTCACTGCTTGGCTCCAGTAGAGCTGTTGGTAACCCATCTTGCATTCAAGGGTGCAAAGGTACATTGAACTTTGTTTTTTTTTTTTTTTTGTTTTTAAAGAGAGAGTGAGAGAGGGGAGAGAGAGAGAGAAGAGAGAATTTTTAATATTTATTTTTTAGTTCTCGGCGGACACAACATCTTTGTTGGTATGTGGTGCTGAGGATCGAACCCAGGCCGCACGCATGCCAAGTGAGCGCTCTACCGCTTGAGCCACATCCCCATCCCCAGGTACTTTGAACTTTAAAAAAAAATTATTGCTTTTAATTCTTTATCCAGAATTTCAGTCACTTTCATACTTACTGTGGTAATTCTGAACTTTAGGTGATGACATATTCCCTTATTTTCTTTTTTCTTTTCTTTTCTTTTTTTTTTACCTTGGGTACTGTTTGTTGTTTTGTTGAGTATCTTCAGTTAAATTTCATACTAGTTTCCCTAGTTTAATATCCCTGTAGCTTCTTTGTGATTTTTGTTTATTTGTTTGTTGTTTTTTAGTTCAGAATATATTTCACTGAGGTTGCAGAGAACTTCTGTCTCTGCATCTCTTGAAGGAATGGGAACCCTCTGGTTTTTCAGGAGATATGGTGTTGGCAGCAAAGTATATGGGTTGTTCCCTCTGTGATTACTCCTATTATGGGTAGCCCCTATCATGGGTTTACATAGGTCCTGCTTACAATAGCTCTAGTACTTGAAAGTGATTCTGATACTGGTTCAGTTGCATTGAAGGGTCCAGAACTCTTGTCCTATGACTGGACATTTTTATAGATCTAGTTGCTTTATGGGAGAAGCAAGTGCTAGAAATCTATCTCCCGCTCTGGGGGACTCACCTTCAGACTTATCAGCTCTAGGCAATCTGATCTGGTGCAGGTGCAACCAATGTAGAGTATCCACATCCATCAGCGTCATACACCACTTTGTTTTCCCTTTATGCTGCTGCTGTGGAGGTAGCTTCCATCTATGTATACCCATCTGGGGCAGGTTGACCACTAGAAGCTCATGTATCCCATTTTTTAAAATAGAATTGTCCTTTAGGGTTTCGGTGGGACTGATTTTGGCTGAAGCAGGGTTTAATTCTTCTCATCTGATCTGTGAGGAAGCTCAAAGGCAGGACACCTACCCAGTGGCATGAAGCCCTAGCACTGGAAACACACACACATACAATTTAAAAATAAAAATATATAAGAAAGAGAATGAAGAGGGAAAATAATAGAAATCAAAAGTAAAAGAAAAAAAGGAAAGTGGGAAAGAAAAGAAAAATCCAACTAAAGAATGAAAAATAAGATAAAATAAAACTGAGAAATAAAAAAGCAATYATTACAAAAGATAGAATAGTCAGAGGGAAAAGCAAGTAAAAAAAAAATTCTTCTAATTGAGGTGCTTTGAATACCTTTCTCTGGGTCTCCTAAGAGTGTAATCTGCTAGGTATGAAGGCGGGTAATGGGTTGTAGTTTCAGCTCATTTTCCTTCCACTCTGGTCTTGCCAAACTAGCTGAGGCAGAATGAGGGCTGTATCCTGAAATTACATGTTAAGATAATGTTGACTCAGCCCAGGGTATTTTCTCTCCAGACGCTTTTAGTCTGTGTACCTGGGGCATGGCTGAGATCCRAGCTGCTGTGAGCCCATATCACTGACGGAGTTTTGATGAATATGAAACCCACTGGTTATATATTTACTCTGGGTGATTTTAGTCTGTGCATGCACCCAGAGGCATGGCCAACTTCATGATTATAGCAAAACCTTTTTCACCAATTGAGATGTGGTAGAATGTGACTGCACTGGGTGGGCATATATTAGCCCTGAAGGATTTTAGTAAGTGCACCTGGGGGCGTGGCAAATGAACAAGGCATGGCCAATCCCCAGAATGTCTCCAAGGATTGCAAGGGCAATTGAACCCCACCAAGTTCTGTGTTTGGGGGAGGCTGTGGTTGAGTGATTTGCCAGCCCTGATTGTGGCACTTTCAGACTTGTCCCCTGCTTGAAGCAACACCATTGCTGAACAGCTATGCCCTCCTCTCCACTCCCCTTTCCCTTGCAGCCTGTGCTCCCTATAAAATAAAGCTCTCAGTGAATTTGTGTCAAGGAATCTCCCCCAAGCTATAACTGTCCTGTATGCCTCTCATCTACCCAAAGTGGCCATGTGTCAAAGTGGTTCCTGAGATGTGATTATGCTGTTTTACGATCCCCAAAGCAGTTTAGTCCTTAACAGCAGAAACTTCCTTAAGATGATTCCTGGCTATAGCACTCTGAGAGAAGCAATTTCTTCTTTAAAGATTGTTTGTTGTGTAGACTTCATGTCGCCAATTTATTTATTTGTAGGGTGCAGTGTTCTGGGCTAYACTCTTTCTCTTTCATCTCTGCCCCCATTAAGGGAAGAGTCCCCTTTCCCCAACCTAGAAGTGTTGCCAGGAGCTGGGATATTCCACTTTTCTTGTTTTGTTACTCTCTTTAGTCTTGGAATCTACCAAGTTTCATTTCCTGTGCCATCATTTCCCAGTGCTAACCCACAGCCCCTTATCTCCATGAGAAATTCCATCTTGTGGAGGAGCAAACCATTGCTGGTGTCTCTATATACCACCTTCTGTCTCCACCTGAGTTTTTATTTGAACAATTATGTTTCTTAATGTCCAGGTTTTTTATTTGTTCTTTCTTTACCCACCTGATTTATTCTTCCCCATTCTTCATTTTTGTGTCATTTACTTCTCCATTGTTAGATCTTTTTGAACATTCTGAAGTTGTTTACTATTTTCTGGTCATTATCAGACCTTCTATGACATAACTTTTATCTGATGGTTTTGAATTTTTTGGTATTAATTTTCTCTTGCTATATTCCAATTTAATTGCTATATATTTGTAGCAGAGGGATTGCATCAATGTATGCATTTACTGTGCTATCCTCATGGATAATTTTCTAACTGTATTTCTCTTTCTTCATTTCCTACTTTTTTTCTCCTCTTTCTATGTTTTCCTTTATCTAATTGTTATGTTTAAATGGAAAACCATATCTTATGGTGGCTATTCTAGAGTCCCACTTTCATTGTCAATATTGAATCCATTTATAAATACAATGGTAGCTTAGTGAAATTTTTGTTCACAAATCTCTGTTTGAGATCTCCTGTCACTTTAGTCATGCCTCTTGAAATAATACATAAACACAGAGAGTAGCTAATAATAGTTTTCAATAAGACAGCTCCCCACTTAAGTTTGGCATGAGTTAAGTTTCTGGTATATCTTAAATGCCATTAGTGTATAGAAGTAAAATATTACCATATTGTTCAAGAGCCCGTTACACCCATGCTTTAACCCTATCACAAATTTGTATTTTCATAAGGTTCAGGTTTGTTAAGGTATTTATCATAACTTTAACTTTTTCTCTTTTAATTTAAAACTATTCTTGATGTATGTTAGAACAGGTGGGAATTTATCAATGTGTGAATTTTCTATGATATCAGCTGACTATTTTTTAATGGTATTTTTCTCCTCCTCTTTTTAGGTGTTATATTAATTCCAGGATGTGCACTTGGCCAGCTTCTGGGAGGTATCATTGTGTCCAAGTTACAAATGTCTTGTAAAGCCCTTATGAGATTTATCATCATTACATCTCTTTTGTCAATTATATTTCTTGTACTTATAATTTTTGTACACTGCCATCCAGTCCAATTTGCTGGAATCAACGAAGATTATGATGGGTAAATACAATTTTGTATATTATATTTTTAAATAAGRAACCATAAGCCTATTTCTCAGGCAATTAATTTTACATCCAGTAATGCTTACATGTTTATATCACTCTTATAATTATTAGGTATGTAAAAGAATTATAAGACACAGTTTTAAGTTTCATTTTAAGGTCACAAATATTATGAGATCTGGTGATGACTGCTCATTTAGTTATAAATTAATAGAGAAAATTCACATTGAAATCACAGAACATAAAAGTAAAATTTTGTTAGGATTGATAACAATTAGGGGATGGTACCAACTTCTTTACATGGTAATTTTACCTTGTGTTCTTGAATTGGATTGTCTGCCTTCTTATGGATATCAGAGAATATATGCAAAGAGAGTATCTCTTTTAAGCCAAATATGCACAAATTCAAAGAACTTGGCATAGRTTAATATTAATATTAGGATACAAAAAACAGAATTGAAAAGCAAAGGATTGGGAAAATAAATAAGCAAGGAGAATAAAACATCTACTTCAAGCTATTACAAGAGTAGCTAAGGACAGACCAATGCTCAACAAATATTACCAGTGCTATTGGATAGTCACAGATCATAAAGCATGACTTAAGCTTCACTCATTATACAAGTTTCTGAATCATAGATTAATGTGTATCATATTTCATTGAAAAACTTTTAAACTTTTAGAAACAAAGTAGAAAATTCCTAGAGTGTAGAACTAGGTGAAGTGTTGTTAGACATAACAATAAAAGTATGATCCATAAAATAAAAAATAACAAATTAGACTTTATAAAAATGAAATAGTTTTGCTGTGCAGAGGCTGCATGCTAACAAGGTGAGAAGATATGCTATAGAGTGAACACAGTATTTGAAAACTGAAAATTCATGTGCATTTACAAGTAGAAAATTAATGTTGGTTGAAAATTCCTGAATACAAGAACAGAAAGAATTAAATTTCATTATTCTATCAAGAAACAAATGGAAAAACATACAATTTTTATGGAAAATTTTTGTTCATAAATTATCATATTAAGATATCTAGAAATAAATCTATCAAAGATGTGCAAAACCTTGATAAAGAAAAATTTTGCTGACATGTATAATATGATATCAAAACAAAAGGAAAACTACAGAATGTTAATATATTTGAAGAAGAAATATAAAAATATCAGTATCCCACAAATTAACATCAGTTCCTTGTAATTCTACTAAAAATCTTTTTTTTTTAAATTTTTCTTAGCTGTAGATGGACACAATGACTTTATTTTTATTTATTTATTTTTATATGGTGCTAAGGATTGAGCCCGGTGCCTCACACATGCTAGGTGAGCGCTCTACCACTGAGGTACAACCCCAGCCCTCTACTAAAAATCTTGATAGAATTTTTAAAAACCATGAAAAGCCTTTTTGAAATTATTATTATTATTGTCAAAAGAGGAAAGTACAAAGAATAGATTATAYACTTCCCAAAAGGGGGGGTATTGAAAAATATTGAATTTCATTTTGCTTTGATTTCACTTCAAGAAATCTTTATGAAATTAAGGAAAGGTTGGATTTGTGCTTTGTGGCACCAAAGAAGAAAAAATAGGCCTTAATTTCTATCACATGGGGCTAGGCCCCAACTTCCTTAATAAGATGCCTATAACACAAGAACTAAAACCAAAAATCAACGAATGGGATGGATTCAAACTAAAAAGTTTTTTCTCAGCAAAAGAAGTAAYATGTGAGGTGAATAGGGAGCCTACATCCTGGGAACAAATTTTTACCCCTCACACATCAGATAGAGCTCTAATATCTAGGGTATATAAAAAGCTCAACAAGATAAGCACCAAAAAAAACCCATCAAATAATCCAATCAATAAATGGGCTAAGGACCTGAACAGACACTTCTCAGAAAAGGATATACAATCAATCAACAAATAAATGAAAAAAAAAATGCTCTTCATCTCTAACAATCAGAGAAATGCAAATTAAAACTACTCTAAGATACCATCTCACTCCAGTAAGAATGGCTGCCACTATTTTGAAGACAACAAGTGCTGGCGAGGATGTGGGAAAAAGGTACACTCATACACTGCTGGTAGGACTGCAAATTGGTGCAGCCAATTTAGAAAGCAGTATGGAGATTCTTTGGAAAGCTGGGAATAGAACCACCATTTGACACAGCTATTCCTCTTCTCAGACTGTAGAATCCTTTCTTTTAGATATTTTAGATATATAGTACAGGATCACTACCTATAGTCACCCATCATAAAATAGCATACTACAATTTCTTAATTTTATGAAAATCCAATGTTGTACCCATTGATCAATCTTTTTATTCTGTCCTTTTGGACAAAGCAAAATGATCAGCAATTTTATTTCACTCATTGCTTTTCATTAAAATTGTTTATTGGGCTGGGATTGTGGCTCAGCAGTAGAGYGCTTTCCTTGCATGGGCGGGACCCGGGTTCGATCCTCAGCACCACATAGAAATAAAGGCATTGTGTTGTTTCCATCTACACCTAAAAAATAAATATTAAAAAATTGTTTATAATCCATAAACACAATGGGCAATATTCACAAAACTTGTAATAGAGTAGAAGATASCCTAACTAATTTCACTGAGATTAAGTGAATTAACCCATTTTGAGAGAAAAAAAAATAATAAAAAAGGAAAAACCGAAAAAGTTTTACAGGATGAATGGTACCCTGTTAGGCATACAAATATCTGCATTGTCAGAGTTCCAAGGGAGGACAGAAAGAGAAAAATGCACAGAAACCCTATTTCACAGAGTGATAATTGAAACGTTCCTAGCTTTATGAGAAATATGAACATTCAGTCTGGGAAGTGCAAAAGAATCCCAAATAGATCCAACCTAGAAAGTCTTCTCCAAAGCACAATATAATTTAAGCTGTCAAAAGTCAAAGACAAAGATTT